CACGTGGCCCAATTACCGGCCTACCAAGTGCCTTTGGCGACCGCTAACAGCAACTGTGGAACAGTGCAGTGCCCTTTTTTGGAGCAACGTACGAGTAGTGCCCATGGATTATGACCCCGCGACCCCAATCTATGTGGCGGTCCGCAATTCGCTACTTCATACTGACTGGCGTCCGGCATCGTCCCGAATTTGGCCACAATCTGCTCTCGGGACCCTGTAGGGCTCCCTGACCTGCTCCATCTCCGCCATCGTCAATGTACTGCGCATCCACCCAGGCCAGGACTGCACTTACTTACGGGAAGGAGTATTTGCAAGATGGAACCTGGGAACTGGAAGACGACGAAGAGGAAGCGTGGGAATCCGGCGGCAATGGCTGGGATGTAAGTCCAACATTGCTGGTGCCAGAGTAGCCACTGCTTGCTTATAAGGGAATCATGTGTGTTGCCTTTTTGCCTTTTCCGACGTCCTCCTCCGACTGTACTCCCGATCCCAGGACTGAACTTACGGGAAGGAGTGCTTCCAAGATGGGAGACGAAGAAGAAGAAGCCGCTGAATCCGGCGGCAATGGCTGGGATGTAAGTCCAACATTGCTGGTGCTAGAGTTACCACTGCTTGTTTATAAGGGATTCATATGTGTTGCCCTTTTTTGCCTTCTCCCAAGTTCTCCTCCGACTGTACAGGTGACCGCTGTCACATATGTTGCCCTTTCCAGGCAGTAGAAGGGAGGGGGGGGGGCAGCACATCCTGGCATCCAGGAATGCTAGGCCCTAGGAACTAGGCAATCTGACCTTTCCTCTTACCCCAATAATGGTATGGATGGGGAGTTCTTGAACATCCTCAGTCTTGTTAGAGTGAACTGTGCAACTCGGCAATCGGTGATAGCAGAGGACCAATGCCGATGGCGATGCTCCTTCCTTTTTCTCTGTCACAGGCTGCGTTCTCGAGAGGAAGCGTTATTTCTGCATTCCAAGAAGGACGGCACAATGGTGAGTGGAACTTCGTTGGTGTGCAGCCTTGCTAGTTGAATTGTAAATCAACCATTCTTCCTGTCTCTGACTTCTTCAATGTCCTCCTCAGTGTCGGACTGTCCGCGTCGCATTGAACTGGTCCGATGAGGCTGCTATTGCACACACAGTGAGGGAACTCCCATACGGGAACTCGGAAGTACTGCTACAGTACAGGTAAGGTGGCCATTGCTTATGTGCGTGCGCCGTTGTCAAACTTCTAAGCCAGCTGTACTCCAACCTACATGGAGTCTGAAAGTAGTCAGCTGGCGAACTACAATAATTATTGAAGTTTAGACGTTATATGCCGCGGCTTGGTCAGCTTTTTCAGTTTCACAATGCATTGCACTCAGCACCGCTTCTCGGAGTATCTTGTCAGGATAGCTTTGGAACGCATCCTCCCCAGTGGGGGAACGGCAAATGTGCTGTTCATTTTTTAGGCTTGCTTTTATGGTACGTACAAATCCCCATTGAAAAGACATAGTGGAGACCAGAAACTGCAAATAGATGTTGGGAACCGCGAAGACCACCCTTCCTTGTCAAGTTCCCTGAGGGTGTGGAGGGGGGGGGGGAGCGGAGGAGGGACATTCCTGCACTGCTTAAAGCAGGATTCACAGGAGCATTTTCAGAAATTGCTTGTACATTTGTACCAGTTGTAACCGACAAACGCATTCTCATTGAGGTTTGACTTGAGGCACGTCAGCAAGGCGCTGTTGCATCGCTGACGTCTTGTCCTGATTCTGTGAATGGTATTTTGTGCGAGTTTGCATCGCACGCAGAATCGCAGGTCGTGTCGCATTGCGCAGCACACTGCCAAATTGCTTCTGTGAATCCCACGTGAATGGGAATTCCAATGGGAATGTAATCCATTGCCAACAGGTGTATTCCCGAGCTGCGCATCATACTGCAAAATTGCTCCTGTGCATGCAAATGGATTTCATTGCTCTTCTGTAGTTTGGGAAATTCTCGATTATGATAATTCTGCGTGTGTGTGTACACCAGCCCTGAACATACATGTAGGTGACCCATTTGTGGTGTCTCATAGCCTACCTCACGACCTTATGCTTGCTTTCTGTATCACTTGTATCTTGCAGGTATATCACCCCGTGACGACCACATCGAAGTCTGAAATTGAAGTGTGAAGATGCTTCAGCAACCCCTTCATATTTTCCATTGCTTTTATTGTGCTTCTACTGTGCATGTGTGTAACCTGTGGGGTATGCATGTGATGACAATGTATGCCGATGACACGGTCAGATTTTGTCCATGCGTGTAACGTACACCTGCATGCTATCGTTGAAAAGGATCTGCCACTTACGATCTTCGGACGAGTATCAGGTCAGCTTGGTTTTGTGTGGGCTGTACCAGATGCTGTTCACTTCTCTATCTGTTGGATATGTGACTTTCTGCAAGTTTCTGGTGTATGGTGGCCACTTCTTTGCTCGTCTTTGTATGACATTACAATAATTCTGTATTCACTGCTTCCATGGTGTGGTCTGCAAACTGCAATCCTTAGGCAAATATCATCACGGTTTGCAATGTTGTGCTTTGGCTGCTAGCTTACCTACACATTGTAGTTGAATTATTTTTGTTTCACAACTGACTTCCTGAAGTATGGTGGCCACTGCTTTGCATGGCATTATACAATGTTCATCAAGAATTTCCTGTTTGGGTCGTGTGTGTGTGTGTATGTATGTGTGTGCGTGCCCATGTGTGTGTGTGCCATGTGCATGTGCGTGTTTGTCACAAGGTGTCTGTGTGCGGGGTAGCGAGGTGGGGAGGGCTGGAATGTATCAGTGTGCTACTGCAGTTGCATGGCTACATACAGTGCATCGCGCGCGTGCTCACCATGTTTATCTTCGGAGCTGGGCTAGGGTGGGGGAGGGAACAGAAAAAGAACTGAAATTACCCATATAAAAACCGCTCTGTGAGCGGTTCTGAAAAACCTCTACTGGTGCAGCCCCGTCGTAAAAGTAAGAAATTAGAACTGGCGCATTGTCCTCCCAAATGTGAACTGATCCACCTAAATCGCGATTGACGGGACCCGAACGCACCAGTAGCACGAGGTCGGGAGGGCACAGGATCACAGCCGGCGTCGGCGCTGATCAAGTTACCATACAACACTTAGATCTACCCCGAAGCCCACCTTTGCCGCTTTACTTTGGCTTTGGCTATGGACCAGCGTCCCCAGCTGCATCCACAGGTAGGAACCTCGTGCTACTGGTGCGTTCGGGTCCCGTCAATCGCGATTTAGGTGGATCAGTTCACATTTGGGAGGACAATGCGCCAGTTCTAATTTCTTACTTTTACGACGGGGCTGCACCAGTAGAGGTTTTTCAGAACCGCTCACAGAGCGGTTTTTATATGGGTAATTCTACTTGTGGAGCTCAGAAATCAGAGCGCACATCACAAACCGACAAAGCTCTGTTTTTTTTCCGAGTGACTGTACAGGCGCGACTGGTCATGTATGATGCAAACTGTAGAATCTTCGCTAAATGTGACCGTTATAACATAATTTTTATGTTATATCGAGGGAATCAAGAATATCTCGCTGCCTAGTCATGGTATACCGGTAGCAAGAAACACTCAGAAAAGTTGAAAAAAGTGAAAAATTCTAGTACACAAGCAAGTTATGTACACTTTCGTTTAGTACATAAACCCCGTTAATACATAACATTTCTCAAGTCCCAGAGATTATGTATTAACGAGGGACGACCTGTACTCAGATGTTGAGCCAATAGTATTCATGTAAAAGAGAAAGGACCAATGAGTTACGATTAACCATCCACCAAGGTAACAAGATACAGTAGAACGCCTATTATCCAGATGTCAACTATCCGGATGATTGATTATCCGGATCGCCTGGTCGGGCTGGACAATGAAAAAATTAGCAGCTTTTTTCGAGGTTTTTGCTGATTTTCCCTACTCAGACTACATTCAAGCGACGCACAAGGCGTATTTCAACAGGTTGGAGTCAAAATGTATAACAATGGTGACATTTTGAGGAGCCGGAGAGCACCTACTTCGAAGTAGTTCCGGTTATACTGGCGAAGAAAATGAACAAATTAATGATGAAAACATGCGGGAATATGCATGTGTTTAGCTTTAGATTAATGTATGACTGCTCTCTTATCTGAACATTCTCCTCATCCGAATCCCCTGGAGACAGCCCCGCACCCCAAGGGGTGCAGATAATCGACACTCTACTGTACAGCCAGATTGTGCGACAAGGCACACAACTGAAAGGGATACTGATATATATGAGACATTCAACAACCTCACACCTCGCATAGCCCCAACACATCTACGAAGCACAAACGAACAACCTTCCTAGTCGGAAGGCTGAAGTGAGGAAAAGTCCAATAAGGGGAAGGAAAACGCAACAAAGATGAGTGTGAGCTACGTCTCACAGCGAACAAAGAATGCCAAATGTTACAGGGTGACAACGAGACTAGTAAGGCCACTGGGCATACTGCTCTAACTACAACTCGAAGATGCAAAGCAACAGACCACTCAACTTGGGAGGCTTGATTTGATGCGATAACATCAAGAGACTTTAGAGTCCAATCTTGATAACATGTACAGTGCATATCAGCGAGTAGTAAAAATACCGTATTTTACTCGGTGGCATCAAGCACTTCGGAGTCAGCATGTTCAGAGCACCAGTAGAAATGTGTCGTCTGCCCCCTGTCTCTCATCCTAGCCGGACTGTGATCTGAATTGGATAGATGTAGTATACTAGTAATGGCCATTACTAGTACATGTATCCCATTCAGATCACAACCATAATCACTAGTGCATGATTATGTTGTTGCGACGCCATAGCGGAGGCTCAACGTCAACATCACCGCTAGTAAACCGATCCGGCTGATGGCGTTTGCCCCCCCCCCCCCCCTCACACACACACACACGCACGCACGCACACACACACATACCCCCCCCCCCCCCCACACACACACGCACACGCACACAAGATACAATCCAAGACAGTGAGGGTGATCTATATTCCCACCACTACAAGAATGGGAGAATCAAGTGTTCTGACAGTATACTGATCAAGTTGCCCGCAAACCAGCCCAGTGCACCCACACACATGAACACATAAGAATCGCGCAATGGCACAACAGGTGTCATGCTTTAACAGCTGGTGGCAAGTCTACCGACAAGCCCACCTTTGTCTCATACCTCTCATGCCAATGGAGGAAAGTCTATCTTGATCATTCTGTAGGTCACATGATCCGTGTCATGGTCAAAGCTCATACCTCGGCCAGCCGGGAATATGAGTGGAAGTAGGGATGTCAACGCAACCAAAGCAATGCTAAACACTGGGATTACCAGAGCCACAGTGGCCCCGGCATGCTGATATCACACGCAAGTGTGAGCTTAGCCAAACCTCAGGTCAAGGTCAAGGTCATTACGCAGTCACAGCGATGGGCAGATCAGCGTCTAGCCGCCCAAGCACACAGTCACTCGGTTCTTGGCTTCTTTGCGTCTGTTTCGCCGGCAGTGAAATGCTCCCGCAGGGCTTGGAGTGCTCGATATCGATGGGAGATTGTGTTCTTGATATCTTTATCCATCTCTGCATACCTACATGTACACAGGCACAACGAGGAAAGCCAAACGCTGGACTGAGAACTCTCGGCAGCTTGTTTTGTTCAAGTCTGCAAAATCATCAGTGGTTATGCAATACTCACGCAATCTGTTCATGTATGTAACATGTAATTTGTTGCAGCACTAGATTTTCCCCGAGCACAATGCACTACAGTACTGCCGGGTGCCGGAGAACTGAGGGGTCAGCCTCGTCGTAGCCTAGCCCGTTCTTATTCTCATGTACTACAGTCTATGCACATCAGAGTCACCGTGTATATATGGGTATGGTGTGCTACGTGAAACCCTAGCCTGTTCGTTCTTTGGAGCTCCGTTCTTCGGCACCCGACAGCAGCAAGTTTCCTGTAGTACTACAGTTGTGCTCGGTGAAATCCGGCCCAAAGTGCACACTTGGTACCTTCACTTGCACGGCCCTTGACGCCTTGGAAGTGGTGCAAATGCGACTGCATGTATCCAATGTACACATGTACAAGTACAGTGATGTAATCGGGACTGGTCCAGTGCGTCAGTTTTGCACTTCGGGTCGGATTGCAGTGAGTGCAACTGTAGTACATGTCCATGTTTGCCTAGTGCCCTGCACAGTTCAAAGCACAGATAGAAGTTGTGGCGACTACACTTGCAGGCTTTTGTAAGACTCATATTTAAACCAAGACATGTGCAAACGTACGTCTCCTCGAATCCATCTGGCTGGAAGATAGGATCCCACCCAAAATGATTGGGACCGCGTGCTGCCACGATTCTACCCTGCAACATAGCGAAGTGGACAGGAGGGAGCAACACAAGAACAAAAAGCATACAGATTGAACACAGGTACAGTGATGCATGCGAGATAGGCTACATGCATGCCTACATGATGGTACATTCCTATTAGGGGCGCTTCACACCACTTATTGCCACCACCGTAATGTATCGTCGACCCCCCCCCCCCCTCTCTCTCCCTCCCTCCCTTCCTCCCTCTCTCTCTCTCTCTCTCTCTCTCTCTCTCTCTCTCTCTCTCTCTCTCTCTCTCTCTCTCTCTCTCTCTCTCTCTCTCTCTCTCTCTCTCTCTCTCTCTCTCTCTCTCTCTCTCTCTCTCTCTCTCTCTCTCTCTCTCTCTCTCTCTCCCCCTCCCCCTCTCCCTCTCTCTCTCTCTCTGCTTGTTTTCCAGCAAGGGGCAGGAATTAGATGCAGGTTGTCAAGGGGATTATTTTGGCAAGTACCCATTGTCCCGGAGCGCAAAACAGCTTGAAACGAGTTCCCAGGACATGTAGTCAAATTGGCCGGAAAGCAGAATTAAATTTTGCATTTCTCTTAGCACATATGTCATAAAATACACACATTTGAGGGCTCTTTCATGCTCCTGGAAAATGAGTACTTGCCTTCCATCTTGTCCTCGGTGCTTGGTTTTATTCGCTGCCAAGTGCTAGTTCCTGCCACCTGAGCAGGATACTGTGCAAGCGCTGGTGCCATGCAATAATTCAATAAAGCACAGTTTGAAAGGCTTGCCGGCTGAATCATGCCCGAGCTTCTAGTTCCCGAGCCCGAGGGCCATAATTCGTGAATATTCTGCTCCTGCTTACCGGGGTCTTGCCTCTGAAAAGAAGCACGTCTGGACTGTTCTCCTTGTCTGAAAACGCAAATGTACAAAGTGCATATCCGGACTTGTCCTCAAATCCAGTTAGCATACTGTTCAGACCTAGAGACAACAACAAGAACAACACAGACAGAGATATAGGTACACGTCATGCAAAACATCAGCACAAAGAATGATACAAGATGATCGCTAACATCATAAGCGAAAACATTGCGAACAAAATCTGGTGAGCATGGCAAGGAGTTCTAATTTCAACAGCACTGATCAACTCCCTTTGGTCCCAATCCAATATGTTTTTTTCCCTATGAGGACGCTCCACCGCGAAGCGCCGGTGTGCCGAAACAGCATTGTCAAAAGATGGAAGCACAAATATATACGCCAGTACAATACATGTACCAGTAATTGTCCTGGTTCTGCTAAGCAGGTTTACATTCCACCAGTGTTCGTAATAAAAATCAGTGTGACGGTCAGAGTCTTTGAATTAGTGCTATGGTTGATTCACCACAAGACTGCAGCCAGCATAATAACTACGGACGCAGCCAATGAAGTCTGACCCCACACATAATATGGGGGTGCCACAGCGTCCGGCCTGGGAACTAGCCAAGTCCACTGCACATAATTGTAGCGAATTCTGCCCCACGGTTGTGTAGCACCAGATGCTGTGCCCCTGTTCTACAGGATTTAATTTCATTGGCTCCAACTATACTCGACTATAGTGTCACTGCAGTTTCTGCAGCTCTCAGGTACACGATGCAAGAGCACAGGTCCCATTATCAATGCACTACAACGTAGGAGTTGATTCTCAGAACTGTCCATAGCGAAAAGGCAGTGGAAATGCTCATGGTGACATTAAACACAGCTCAACAAGCAAAAAAAGTACACAAATAAAAAAAAAACTATGCCAAGCGTACCTGAATGACCGAGTTTCTCCAGAAACCACTTTCTAAATCACAGCAAAACCCAAGCACAAAAGCAATGGCATGAGCAGGGCACATCCTATTTCAAATTGAGATACACACTATGAGCTAGGTATAGTTTCACTTGGCTTGCCTACTTTCAAGTAAAGGCACACCCATTCCATGATTCTCTACTGGTTTTTGGGGAAATGAGGAAAGAAATGAATCGAAGACCAGGCAAGAATTTTCTGCTAGAATCCAACCAATGTGTGTAGCCACAGACATACAAGTATATGCTTACATGTATGGTCCCGGAAGACCCTTGAGGGCATTGAAACACAGGCATGTGTCTTCAACCATCACAGGACCCTCAATCTGTCCAGCAAAGGGAACACAATATGACAGGATTCAAAATGCCACCACGCAAGCAACGGATGGCAGTACGGCAGACAGCAAAAGTTAGTTCCGACACTATACTTAGTACAACACATGCCACACACGTGTTCATCTGGATTTACTATCTACTATGTACTATGGAGGACTAAAACTATTTTAGTACTCCCTGATATTTACTGTTGATCGTCACTGGTACAGTAGTGATGGCAAGGACTAGATTGAAAGAGCAGAGGCAGTATGCAGTAGGAGCATCTATCACAATAGGTGGTTTCAGGATAGTTCCCGGAGTGGCAATAACACGACACGAATACGAAGGATACATTCGCAAGTTCTTGTGACTTCATCAATGTTTGCATGCATAACTTCGACAACATCGCTTGTTATAACTTATAATGCAATAACAGGCGTAGAAGTAGTTTCATGATCTGCAGTAAAAGGATCACCACGTGGTCATCGCCGAAAGACCTTTACTGTCCCGTAAACTACTGAAGAAACAAAGAATTCAAGCTCCAATTGGCCATCCTGTCGTAGCATTTGGCATACTATTCTGTACTGCTTGTGGTAGATCTGGTACTACATCTGTACTCGAACCGTACGCGCGACGGACCGGGAGCTGGCTCACTGCTGGTGCCTTCCGGCGCCAATTTTGCTTATGTGAACCAAACCTTAGAGGTAACCTGAGGATAGTGAGACTGCAATGGAGAATGTCTCTTAATTTCTTTATACCGTAAAGTCTTGTAGAAAAGCCGCGGCTTCTATAACTTTCTTGGTGAAATTGCGCAGGCCTCTGTATGAGACAGGCTTCTATACAAGACAGGTATTTCTATGTATGTCAGCACTAAAACCAGGCTTATGTGTGATTTGATGGGCCCAAAATTGCGGCTTCTATTCAACTGCAGCTTTTATACAAGACTTTACAGTACTTATTCTACATAGAAGCAAAACAAGAGCAATTACAGACCTGCGGTTTTCAGTAGGCACATTTCCAAATACAAGTATACTGCATGCTCACCTGACTGGCTGCCAGCAGGCATTTTTCACGTGATATGTCATCGGGCTCCCCTTGAAACTCGGGCACTATGAAAAGAGACAGAGGAAGTGTAACAAAAAGCCATAAGGTAATCTCTCTATGCATCCCTGGCCCTGCCCTATGGCCAAGATGGCCATGAAACAGAAGCTGGAAAGCTGCATACAGTCTACACTATGCAGGCATGTATGCCGCTCACCCTTGAAAATGGTTCCCAAATAACGGCTATATATAACCCAGCGCCATAACTGCAGCCGCGTAGCACCGCCTTTGGAGGGGGGGGGGGGAGGGTCCGGGGCTCTCCCCCGTGAATTTTTGAAATTAGGGTGCAAAATCCTGCATTCAGGGCACTTTTGGCCGTGGTCGGGCGAAAAAGTGGTCCAGCCAAAGCCAGACCGGCCGGACCGGCTGCTACGCCCCTGAACTGTCAAACCCAACATTGGGCTAGAAATTTCACTTTTGCGAAGCATAGTTGATAATTGGGTCATTAGCTAGGCAAAGGAAATGCTTGAAAGTGATGGTGTATACTGCTGCCAGTGCATGTCTCCTAACACTTTAGTGGTTCCTACTTCCTACGCATCCGGGAACCACCGATATCCTTTTCCCTGCTATATCACATACATGCACACTACATGCAACTCATGTACCGTAAAGTACCGTTGATCCGCCCCCTCTCTAATTCCCGCCCCCTGTCGATTTTCTCCTTGTGAAGCGACTTCGCCGTATACAACGAAATACGATGTTGAACCGACGCATGCACTGCTGTACACAATACTTGCCAATCCAGGATCAAAATGTGCACAATTCAGCACATTGAGTCTGATCCTCTACGTTGTTGTACATCGTACTGCACTTGACAGCCTTGATCTAATTCCCGCCCCCTGCCGAAAACCCAGCTGGGAAGCGACATGGCGTGGGGGCGGATCAACGGTACTTTACGGTACATACAATCAGAATTGTGAGACTCACAATCTAACTTCTTCGATATCACCTTGAAAGGGAACGAATCTCCAAGGATAGCAACAACCTAACAAAGGAAGTATAAACACCAAGGATTCAAGAATAAGAACACATCTAATCCAACTTCACAAACTGGACATACCAAATGTGATCAATTTTGCAAAAAAATTATCACCATTGAGTCCACACTCTCAACCACATGCACTCCGTTGGCCGACCTCGTTCACCACACCTGCAAGACTGCAACACAAACTCAAAATTGTAGTAAATGTACATACTAGTTACTGGCATATCAGGTTCCTCACAGAGCCGTTTTGATCATACAGGTTTCATCAGTGCAGGTTGTGAGAGTAGGGAGGTTTAGTTCCCACGTAACGGAAATGCGTACGTGGGTGATCCACGTAAAGTGGATGAAGGGCACCCACGTTTCAATGTTGTGTTTAGTCATACGGAACAAATAAAAGCACGAAGCGAAAGGCCCAAACCTGGTCAAAGACGAAGCTACCCAGGCCTAAGAAGCTCACCCAATATTTTGATTTCGTGCTTCGGAAACTTCTTCAGCTGAGCACCCTTACAGCTCGCACAATGCGCTCCATTCTGATTTTCATCCACGTTCTGGCGGAACGTGGGTGACCCTCCATACACGGTATGTCGTAAATCAGAAACCGTCTGTACGTGGGTCACTGAGTATCACGTGGTACACACACGTAAAGTACCCACGGATTACGTGGGACTAAACCTCCCTAATACTGAATGGCTACAACTTGTGAATAGCAGCACTCTTTATAGCGTTATAGAGCATTAGTGTGAACATGTAGCGCAATTGTGCGATTTGATATAACATACATCACAGAGAGACAGAGCATAAGTGCAAGATGACACTGATACGCACGAGTCTACTGCAGACATAAATAGTAAATACATGTGACACTATAGGCGCAAAAGATCACAGCAACATGAAAAAAACACGGGTTTAAAGGGGAAGTATACCCTAAAATCAAATTTTCACCAGTTGTAGTCTTCGGGGTGCCGAGTCGAATGGTCTTGGTCCGAGGAAGCGGAGACGCTCCCTTCCTCCTTTATTCCCAATCGAACTCGGGCACATCCACCGAAACTGGATGACTGCGCCCTACTAGATAGGGATTTGTACGCAAAATATAACTAAAAGCGCCGTTTCGTTCTTATAAAAGCACGGATGACCGTGATTGGTCCATATGTTGTAGTCTTTTGGACGCTGAGTCGACTGGTTTCGATGCAGCGTTCGGCCCTTATTCCCAATCGAACACGGGTGAGTAAGCGGTCACGTGCTCATGCGTACACAAGTCGCCTGGTCACTGCACTGTGCCTGCAGGCTACAACTTTCACACCAGGGTTCAACTCAAAGGTTCAAAAGTTCAACTCAAGTGACAGGAACGGGCCCAAACAGGCTGTAAATTGTAGCCTGAGGGCAAATTCAAACTCAGAGCTCCAGCACAGCATCGCAAGTAGTCATGCGAGAGGCCCCCGGGGCATTTCACTAGGCCAGGCAGATTTTGCCGGAGAGTATACAGTCAGATCTCGCTTAGCCGCACACATCTGTTTTCCACAAAAATATCCGGATAGGCGAGGGAACCGGATAATTGAACACATGTACTGTATGTATGGCATATGCCGCAAATCTGTAACCAACGATTTTCTTCCACATGGCGAGGAATCCGGATAAAAGAGGACTGGATAAGTGAGGTCTGACTGTATACGAATTGGAAATCGTCACAAGGCAGTGGAATGTACTGTTGCCTTGATATGCCTAACAATAGCATGACGAGCTAAGCAGTTCGGTGCAGCGAGATCTAACTACGACACTTACTAGTGACTAGTAGTAGCAAGTCATGTAGTAGTGTTACGGTAATGCGTATAGGTACATGTACTCCAGAAGTATATGTATGCAAGCCTTGATTGATAGGTGAACATGTTTGATGATGACAATATGTTACAAGGCGGAGGACACACCGACACAGTGCTCCTGACTACAACCATAAACCGGTTGGCAGTGTCTCCTAGAATACAGAGGGTTCGGACTCCCAAACGGAGCTTGACCCCTTTATAGTTCAGACGGTCGCAAGACCGGGACTCTGCCAACCGGTTTATAGTTGCAGTCAGGAACACTGTTCTCAAAACCGCGTGCCCTCCTCGGCTTGTGACATGCATGTTGGCATCGTCCATCATGTTGAAAAGTATATGTAGCTGATGATTTGGAATGAATGAATAGCATGAGTCCTAGTCTCATAAAATGGTCTTTAGAATAATAGATGTACTACAATCCAAACATCTGCCATGCTCAGCTGGAATTTCTGGAGAAACTCCCAAGTCATGACATACCTCTTCAAGCTTTCGTTGATTTCCAGTTACAAATGTAACAGTTCGCTTTGCAGCTTGACTCATCTTGTTTTTCCACGCCTGTCCAAAGCCAGAGTACGAGTGAAAATCGAATACGTTTCTGCGAGCCTGTCGTCTTGCACTGCTTGCACAGACTTCCGGAGTCTTTGTGGATAGTGTCCTGCACAAAAATGACAAATATTTGCTCCTACAAGTACAAGTACAAATCTTCAGAGTCAGGACGCCATTTACCGTTTCCGTGGATACGTGGCCGTGGGTGACTCATGAGTCACATGACGTATCTACGGCGTTGCAATCCATGACCTCATAATTATGAGATCGAACAAACAATTAATGTTACTTGTACATAAAACTGGTATAAAAAAACGAGGACAGAATGTCGGATTTTGACTTTTGTTTTTTTCGCCAATTAATATTTCGGTGATAGGCGTTGTACACACAAGGGCAAGTGACATCATTGGTTTACGTCATCGCGCGGGAAGCTCAGATTGGGTGGCAAAAACTTTTGGGCTTCGTTGTTTGAAGAAAGAACAAACTTACATTTTGGTTTAGTTAGGTTCAGGTTATCTGTCGACTGTGGAGGAAGTGGTTGTAGTCGTTTAGACACGATGACGAAGACTTGCTGCGTCTTTGGCTGCTCTAATCGGGGTGGCAAGCGGAAAGATGGAACAAAGCTTTCTTTTCACCGTCTTCCTCTGGGAAAGAAGCCTACACTCAAAAAGTGGCTCCACAACATGCGGACATCGAGTGTGGTTGTGGGCAGCTCGACAAGGGTCTGCGGCGCTCATTTTGTTGGCGGAAAGCGCTCCAAGGAGCATCCTATCCCAACGCTGTTCGCATGGTCAGCAGCAGAGAAGACGAGGAAAACGCCAAAAGAACGCGTGGCTCTGAAGACACATCAGGACAAAACGCCCCAACCGTCAGCAGCGAAGCCTGAAACATGTGAAAGCACTTGTGAGGAGCAGCCATCACCATCCCTGCCCAGCGTTGATGAGCAGATTAGTGAAGTGCGAACTCAGATCCAGGAATGTTTGGAGGAGAACACACGGTTGCGGATGGAGGTGCAGAAGTTGACACAGGAGAATGAGGCACTGCGAGTCAAGTTGGAGGAAACTGCCACAGCACCAGCACCAGAGTTTTCTGTCGCCAGGATTTGCAACAGTGACAGCCTCACCAAGTTCTATACTGGTATCCCCAGCTATGAGCAATTTCAGGCATTGGTGGCTTTCCTGGAGCCCCACTGCAAGGGGATGACCTTATGGAATGGAGCAAGAACAGGTGAGGATGTTATCTGCTCTGTGCTAGATTTTGATGATGTAAATACTGTGCTTTGCAATGTTGTTGGGTGGAATGACTTCAGTAGTACGGAACCTACTTGTGTCGGTACCATAATTTCCATACTCAGTGCTGTGAGTCTCCATCCTCCTGGCAAATCAAACTTCTTTTCGTGGGCCATGTCATACATGTCTCGGTTCAATGTACTGTGCCCACTGCATAGGTGAACGGCAACGTCAGTGTGTGAGGGCCTTGGACGATGAAAACAGCCTGCTCCTTACGTTCATGAAGTTGCGGCTGGATTGTCCTAACGAAGACCTGGCTCAGAGGTTTTCAATCAGTGCAGGTACTGTGAGCCGCATCTTCACCTCGTACCTTATGGTCATGTACCACGCCTTCAAGTCCGCACAGCTACCCGCCTGGCCGTCTAGAGCGCAGGTTAGTTGTCATGCCAGAATGATTTATGTCTGTTGATGATATGCCCGTGGCTCAACAGCTGAAGCCTAACCCATTACTGGTCGTTAGTGAGTCCAGCCTTTTGGATTGCAATAGGGCTGGTTTATTTTTTTCCTAAAGTATACCTTACATACGATCGCATCAGTGTCTGTGCTTGATCTGGTCTTTCGAGAATTGAGTCCCATTGGTGTGTGTGTGTGTATGTGTGTGTGTGTGCTATGTGCCCATGTTCTATCTACTAACCTGTAGATCGATGCCGCTATGCCCCAGAAGTTCCGCGACCTATACCCCACCACACGCACTATAATCGATTGCACCGAGTTCCCCATCCAGATTCCCTCCGACCCCGACACTCAGAGAGTCACCTGGTCAACGTACAAGAATAGAAACACATTCAAAGCTCTAGTTTGCATCACACCCAGTGGAGCTATCTCGTTCATCTCTTCCCTGTATGGTGGGTCAGTTTCTGACCGTGAAATCACCAAGACGTGTGGAGTGCTGGATTTGCTGGACAAAGGTGACTCAGTCATGGCGGACAAAGGATTCACAATCAAGGAACTCTGTGAAGGTATGTCCCCTGTTTTGTTTCCTTTTGGTGAACAATACTTTATGGTTGCGATCAGTGCTGTAAACTCCTCCTTACAGTAGATGTGTTGTGCAGTCAATGCTGGAAATGGTGGTGTAAGCAAGTTTTCCTTGGAAGCTTATAAACTGTGCTTCTTGTTTCTTGTTACCTCAGAACGGGGTGCCTATGTCAACATACCACCGTTCATCAAGAATGGCCAACAGCTGACCGAAAAGGAGTTGGTGCAGACCCGCCGCGTTGCCTCGCTACGCGTTCATGTAGAACGTGCTACCGAACGAATAAAGAACTTTCACATCCTGGATTTTATTCTATCCGCTCACTTTGACATTGCTGATGCCATATTTCTGGTTTGCTGTGTGGTTGCCGATTTTGGTGCGCAGCTCATTACATAGCTTCCTTCCATTTCTTGCTGCACCGTTACTGCTCAATGCGTTCAGTTACTGACAGGTTCATGATGGCCTGTCCCAGTGTTTGCTTCTGTGAGCCTCTTCCCCCCCCCCCCCAACCCCCCACCATGCATCCGTTGCTATTTTCCACACGTGACTGCTGTCACCACCATAGCAATATCACTGCCTGTATTTCTCCTCTTTTCTTTTCAGCATGAAGTGACAAAAGTGCGTTCTATGAAAGTAACTCAATGGATCATGGAAGCAACCATACAAATCACAAGCATGTGTGTGGCTGTCATGTACGGCAATAAAGTGGGCTATGTTCACGTATGGTTGTAAAAAAAATGGTGTGACGTGGGGCTGTATCCACTTTCATGTTCTGTACACTGGCAATAAAACACTAGACATTATGTACACTGACAATATAAGTATGTACACCGTATGCATGCGTAGCCGTTCATGTGGATGCATTGCCACAGCTCCACCGTCCATAGGGTGGGGAAATACATGTAGCAATGGTGGCAGCCAATGAACACGTCAAAGACTGACGTCACCATGAGCTCTCAAGCAGCAACTGCAAACTTTGCCCATGTCATCATTCGTGCACATATGATGGAACTGATGGGCACAGACTTTGCACGGATGCAATGCCAATGCTCGATCAAATGAACAACCTTGGCAGCAGGATGAGACTCCTGTGGCGGTTGACATACGTTGCTGCCGGTCCACATTTCCTTGCGTTGGAGACTTGGCAGCATCTTCTGCAGCGCACACCTGTCGTGGCGGGCTATCCTTCTCTTGCGTTGGAGAGGTGGCGGCATCTTGTAGAGCACACGACACTGGCGGCGGCACATTGAGCTGGGTGAGGTCGGCAGGGGCAACATCCGTGTAGCAGACGGGCTCTTCTTGTGGGTGAAGAAGTTGCGGAAGCAGCCAACCACGGTAGAAGCCGGTCAATTTCGGCTCCATCTGCTCCTTCCAGAACGCCGCGTCGAATGGGATTCGCTGTATAGCGATGCCCATTGGCGTCCACACGACAAAGTCGCACCACTGCACTTCAGCAACTGCCATGCCACCTTGCACTTGATAGAAATAGTCATGTTGTCGCCGTAGGCATAAACCTCCATCTGACCATGTGCAGTAGAATGGGTTGGAGCCAGACTCCATGCATGCATCTTGGGGAGAGTGGTGACGATGGGAATATGGGCATTTGACCTCAAGTAAACCCATTTGCGATGTCAGCGGCTGGGTCGGGACGAATACGATTCCATCTGGGCTGGCAGCAACGTACCCACACTGCATGACAACAAGACCACGCCGTGAGACACACAGGCCATTCATGCCAGACATGTGCTGCTTCTCCAAGTAGATGCGGACGGCTTCATCTTCATGCTCTCTGCCCCACGACAAGGCCGGACTGTTGATAACTGACTGGGATAGAAGGCGTTTCACCAACGACGGATGTGCTGATTTGCACTTCACAATCACGCCGAAGTTGGATGCTGTGAGTCGCCCGTACCTGTTGCATAGGGCACGAAATGAACACACCAGAGGGACATACACATGAACCAACCAATCTGCAGTGTTGGGTGAATTTGAACATACTTGAAAGTGTTGTAAAGTCATGGCCTAAACAAAGTCGTCAACAAAAGCATGAAAACAGTATACACTCGTCATGTTTTGGATAGTGTTATGTGCCTGCAGACTTTCCTGGACTGAATGCAGTACACTATCCTCAGACATACCTTTGCATTTTCCACTGCCGGTTACCAGCCTGCCCACGAGTTCGATACTCCAGTGCATGGCGTTGCTGCCTGGACACTTGCATATGACGCATGAACATATCACACCATGCCACGACAACACTGCCATCAGGTCGGAATGTGCTGCGGTACGTCCTGGACTCCTTCATCAGCTGCACTAGCTCCGGCACTGACCGGCAGTCGGTTGATCCAGTGGAGCAGGTGGTTGTCTGAGCAGGAGAGGTAGAGCATGGCCGCAGAGTGTCCAGGATATTGGCTGGTTGGGAGCAAGAGCTCAACAAGTCAAAGAGTCTCTGTCGCTCTTCTGGTGCAGAGTCTTTTGGAGCGGTGGCAGCACGTGGATCGAAGGACGCACGACTGGAGGTTGACTTCGGGGTATGGTTGAACACAGGCTTAGCGAACTCCATGTCAGAAACTCGCCTTTTGCCTGGTGGTGCGCTCCAAGCCTGTAGGTCACTGGTTGAGCAGGTCATCCCAGTGAATATCCCTCGTCGGCAGAATTCCTCTAGTCCATAGCACATGGCCCCGATGTGCTTGCAGCTGGCTGATGGGCCAATGCCAGCTCGGCACTCACAAGACGCATAGATGATCCGTACAGAGGGCTCGCGTTTCATTGCCATTGCTATTTTATACCGCATCGACGTCTTCATCTCTGCCTTGCAAAACCCACGGAAATACACCGTCCCATTCTCCAGGCACACCTCTCCATCTCGGCAGTACTTCTTGCTGTAGAGTCCAAAGCTATGGGAGGACACAGCTCTCATGTCGTCAGCATCCAGACCATCAGACGACTTCCTGCACATGAAGTAGTCCATGAGGGAGAAGATTGAGAACTTCATCTTCAGCTCCTCCTGCGTCACATCCACCAGCTTCTTCCATCCTCTGTCAGGAAAACGGACATCAGATGACGAGGCTCCAGCGGTGTCATCCTCAAGCTCACCAGTCACAGTCCCAGACAGCAGCAGTGCCGACACTCTGCACAAATACAAAAACGTGTGTACAGCGAATGATAATAATATTATTGCGCATTTTATTATTATTTGGAAACTATTCCCACAGCAATTTCAGGAGTAATATCAATTTTTTATTGCATCCTTACACGTACACAGAGGACAAGGTGTTTTGTGTGTCTCACCTCTTTTGCAGGTCAGCTTTCTTTCCAGAGTCGTCTTCGCCTTTCAGCTGCAGGTACAGCCTCATTTCCCCCACTTTCCATGACGAAGAGTTTTTCTTGCGCAAAGTCGATTCCCATAACGAACTGGACTTCTTCAGGCGGTCCTCAGCTGACGACTGGGCAGACATGGTCCAGAGCGTCCATAGGCAACAGCCAACAAGAAAGAAAAGACCAGGCGAAAGACCAAAATACCGCTTCCTACTTTCATATTTCACCTCGTGGATAAATGCCAACGCCATGCGCTAGGTCTCTGCCACCCAAAACGCTTTCCCGGGGTTTTTCGAGGCCCAAAACATGACGTAATGCCTTGTGTGAACAGCGCCTATTCTCGATCTCATATCCTGCAGCCCTGTGCATTGCCACGCTGTGTGCAATTATTATTTTCTCGTAATCATCTTCCAGCTGCAGCAGGCCAGAGGTAGTATTACACTTGCAGAAAGATGTCCAGTGCGAAAAGGAACGGTGGTAAAAGCCGTAGAGTAGGGGACGATCCAGTACCTGCTGAAATGGATCACGAAGAAGATTTGGATGATGGTAGTGACGTGGCTGTATCTGACGGAGAGGATGCTGGTGACAGTGGTTCAGAGATCGAGGCTGTGTTCGAAGGTTTTATGCCCAAGGAAGGAGACTTTCATGGCATCAAGAACTTGCTGAATCAGTTGCTGACAGGATGTGATGTGAATTTGTCTGATTTGGCTGATACTGTCCTGGCACAGCCTGATGTCTCCAGTGTGTTGAAAGTTGGTGATGCTGACGATGAAGTGTTCGGTGTCATCAGCCCGCTAAGCTTGAAACAACACAGCAAGAAACCATCTATCCAATCTCTCAGGGAGCTGATCCTGACGAAATGTGATGAGTTCGGTAGCGTAGAGACTAAGGCACGACTCGCGGCCGCATTGGGAGCTAGCGGTAAAAGCAATGTAGCTCTGCTTGTCAATGAGAGGATGATCAACCTTCCACAGGAATTGGCGATCTCCCTGCATGGAGCACTGCAGGAGGATTTAAAAGAAGCCGCTAAAGCTGACAGCACATACAAGTTTGACCAATTTGTAATAATGTGCAAATCAGTTGAGAGTGCGCTGCGCAGTAGCAAGGGTTCAACTGGCCAGAAAAAGAAGAAGAAAAAGGCTGATGGTGCATCGGCGGCAGCAGCAGCCGAGTCCAGTGATGGAAATGAACAGATATTCATCAATCTCGAGGACGAACTGTTTCTCAACCACTGTACTTGTAGCTACTCGTTTCCATTGTCCGAAAGCACTTGGATATCGAGGAAAGGTGGTGTGCGTGAGCGTCCCTCGCGTACTATAATGCTCATGACATCTGGGCAGCTCCGACAGGCATGGAAGGAATTAGAGGGTTTGCTAACATGACCCATCTAGCCATGATACAGAGAGATACTTGATCTCTTGCCCATGTCCGTGTTCCTTGCGTGTGAGCTGGGCAGTCGCTGACTTCAAACAGTATCGACACCAGAGAAACTGCATCGTGCGTCTTACTGAGAACGATAACTGAACCAATGGATATGTACTATGTACAATCAACAAGTTGTTCAGACACTGCAATCCACGTCTGGCAGGCCGCTTGCCGAGGACCAGCACTTCTGGTTTGCCCCAAGAACTGTTATGCCAGTTCAAACCGAGACGAGCTCAGCAAGTGCCCATCAGCAGCCAGATTGTCCAATCCTTCATATCATGGGTAGACTTCTTTTTAGACCAGCCTGGGTTTTGGTTTACGTTGACCATTCAAGTGAAATTGTTTTTTTTTACTACGACTCCTTTCCAATGCTGGCACCAAATTATCTTGAAGAATAATGAAAGTACAGGTACCAGTAATACATTTAATTTAAATACTGAGGGGAAGTCGCCATGGAAGTTTATATCTGGTCGGTTGGCTTGAGGAATATCGGTATCAAACAATTATAGAAGTTGCATGTGCTGCATTAACACCGGTCAGTCATCCGTACATGTTTGTGCAGTAGGAGAAAATGCAGACTCAAGAGGCATTGACAAATTATTCCAGGACACAGAAAAGCAGAATTACATGCACATGCTACGTGTATCTACAATATCCGAGTACATGCTATCTACAATATCCGAGGAGAGTCCAGCCACCAGAGTGAATGATTTATACTTGTATACAGTTCAGCTTCACTTCAGACACCAGTCCGAATGACCGTGCTCTACACTAAGGTGGCTGTCTGCTCCGATTGTCCGCTTCCTTGGCTCTTTGCTGGCGAACCGCTGCGACTTGACATACTTGGCTGTTCGCGTAGTGTTTGACTGGAGTCGGCAGTACGCACGTCAAGGAAAACTAGCCAATTACAGAACAACAGCAAAGCTCTTGAAACTGACAGTGCATTGTACCTTCTCTTACATTGTGGACCTCTTGCTTGCCCAGTCTCAACAAATACGTTACACAGCTGCACACTTATCCAGTTTTTGGCCTATAAACTGCATACCAGAACGTGCGAACACTAAAATAACAGCTACACACACAATCCAGGTATGAACGACAACAGAAACTACCAGTCACCGCAGTGACAGATCGTGCAGTAGCGTTTGGTCAAGAGAGGTAGGATACACAGCAGAGCCAAGATCCGTGAGCTGAGAAAAGAATCAACACAAGGCAAAGGCAACATGAGGGCAACACGACAAACAGGAAAGACACTGCTACATAGCCAAGCCAGCTGTATTGTAGCCACCGTTGTGAAGCACAAAAAGAAAAATTTGCAGTGCGTTTCAAAAGTATAGACATCAGGTTTAAAAAAACCGTCACGCCTGCACCTATACCACATAAAATCTGTGATCACTTTGTGCATAAAATTCCGAAATTTGACGTTTGGTACCGTATTATCTCCCTTATAAACACGGTACTTATATTTTTTCAACCCACCTCGCACCCGTGCTTATAGAGGAGACCGTGATAATACTGGAGACTGTGTTTATATTTTTCAACCATGAAAAAGTCAAGAAAGTTGCATAGCGGTAACACACTCAAATTGGAATTTAATTAACTCAGATTTCATGATTAGAGAACAGAGAGAAGAAAAAAGAATGATGCGGAAGCGCATGCGCACAGCTGCATTCCAGTATTATCACTGGGACTATGTTGGAGACTGCGTTTGTAATCTCAACAGCCCTCCGACCTGTGCTTATAATGGAGACCTGTGTTTATAAGAGAGATAATACGGTATCCAATCGCCTAGAAATCTTATGAGAAAAATCGGGGGAACTACTTGAGCAATATCCCAAATTCTTTTTTTTTAACTAAAAAAAGTATGTGATTTATTTGAAAAAGTCAAGAGGTCTACACTTTTGAAACACACTTGTAGTTCCTCAATTGTGGTGAAAGCCTTCCTCCACGATACTGTAAAAGCCATTATTCTAACGAGGTGCATATATTATAACGATTTCCCAAAATTGACTAGTTTACGTGTACCAAAGGTAACGATTCTCACTCATTCTCAACGCTCAATAGGACAATAATATATGTATCGATTTCGGTATAACGATTTCTATTTTAACGACAGATTTCTCCTCGTTAACTCGTTAGAGTTAGCACTTCGTTATATATATGGCTTTTACAGTAATAGATCCCTAAACCGACATAAACCACAATGAATAGATTTAGAGTTCTCACAGAAAGTAGCAGAGTATGCTTGCAGCTGGAGCAACTCCTGGCACTGGCAAAGCTCAACAGTATTCCAGCAGGGCCGGCGCCACTGGTACGACCATGACCGTACTAATTCCAGCCTTCGTGGAATGTCCAGCGTGACAGTATTTACGTGAAAATGCTGATAGCTATTCTCGTACACCCCTCGCTAGAGTCTTTGCCTAAACTGTTCTTCTTGTCCAGCAAGGACTACTCCGTTGTCTATACTAGTATATCAGTTGCTAGTGGAATATGTAGCTGAAACACCCAGACACGATGTGGCATAGAGCTAGAGGTTCATCCTCCCATGATAATGGAATTGGGCATGGAAGATCGGCCCTGGGGCTGTAGAGGAGGATGTTTCAAATAGGAGATTATGTCGTAAACCGGAACGGACCCAATATTCACTTTCTCCCTTGGTATTTTGATTAGAAAACATAACGAGAGAGCTTGGAAGCTCAGGGCCCTACGCTATGTTTTTTTTGCCTTGATGACCTAGACAAAAAAAAAGCATAGGGATGTTATAAATTCTTTAAAAAATTCCTTTTTTTTCAGGCATAACCTGGGATTCGAACCCGCACTAAGAGCGCCCTGCATGCATCCCCCGATACACTTCGCATACATACTAATTCTTCCAAGTTGTTTCACATTGAGATCTTGCATTTGAAAGCCCTATTTGAATATGCATTGTGGCCAGCCGTCTTTGATGGCACGGTACGGTAGGGGATAGGTACGGGACAGGTACGATCGAGGGTAATACGACACCGTCTCCCGTACCATCAAACACAGCTGGCCATATACAGCTGCCCGCAATATTCAAATAGGGCTTTCAAACGCAAGATAATAACCTAAAGCAACTTGGAAGAATGGGTATGAATGCGAAGTGTATGGGGGAATGCATGTAGGGCAATAGTGCGGGTTCGAATCCCAGGATATGCCTGAAAAAAAGGAGAATTGAAGAATTTATAACATCCTATGCTTTTTTGCCGTCAGATACGGATAGCGCCAGGTGTGACACAAACAAACACCAAATTAAAGCTGTGTGGACCCTGGCTAGCGCCAGACGTTACTGAAGTAACGTCTTCTGCATAGCTACGGGAATAATTATGTCACAGTGAGACTACGGTGTGTTTTACTCCGAGCCAAAAGTTCGTGGCTCTGTGATGACCAGAAGCACCATACCAAGCAGGTAAATTTTTGACGTGTTGCTTCACACTGCGACATGAGTTTTTACGTCTTTCGAAAAATCCACTTCTTGTCGCAGGTAAACAGCAGCTCGCCTCTCGCCTATAAAGCACCGTATACCAATGAAAACTAATGGAAGCACACACAAGGCTTATTGTTTCTCTGTACTGGCCGTCGTGGAGCGATAGCAAATTACCTAATTTCAGAACTCCGGGTGAACTTGATGTGCACTGCATTGAGCGTTCCAGTTTGGAGCAACCCCTATAAAACCAAAATTTGAAACGAAAAATCGGGCAACTTGGAGGCAACGGGCCAACACAAAGGATTGGCTCACTTCGATGGACTCTGGCCTCAGAGCAAACTTCAACATGCCAGCTACCTTCCACAAACATATTTCGAGTGAACAATCCACACGGATGATCGGTTTAGGTCTATATAATTTTGCTGTCAAACCGTTCCTATTTGAAACACCCTCCTCTACAACCTCTCAGGAGCTGGCTCCACGCCTGTTCAGAAAAGGCAGATCAGGGCAAAGAGCAACAGACTGTAAGTTAGTTTGTCTTTCTCACCCGTGTCATCAAGTGATCCAAACCCTTGCTGGATGCTTCAGCGTACTTCAATGATCTGTAACAGGAACATGTATAACAAGGCAATGATAAAATATCGAGAACGCACAGACCAAGAAGAACTGAGAACATGCAGCATGCCTTGTCAGGTTTGTTCATCTTTCCACAGCAAGCAGATGGTACAAACCTTAAGGGCTAACATTAAATTTTGTCATTGAATCGGACATTATCCAAAGCTAAGCACATGGTGCACGCACACAAACACATATGAGATGACAGTCTGTGTAGACAAGTGTTAGCTCTAAGGTATGCAACAACTACCCCCAACAATAAAGAGGTTCTGCGCTAAGTAAAGTTGACCAACCTTACTTAAGTGGGCGGGAAAAATCCGTGAATGCGCGAGTTAGCACTCCACTTACAGAAAGTTGTCTATGTAGAGTATGCAACTGGGGCTCTACTAAGTAAGGTGCTCCGTATTGGATTGGGGTAAAATGTATGACTCTCTCTCTCTCTCTTGGTCGTACACTGTCGTGTTCGGAGTTGCAATGGGCAGCTACGTGATTCGAACAGTTTGTATGGCGGAGTGTACGTAACACTTTCCGTAGATTGAATACGCTTTTACCAACTTAATTACGTTACAGCATGTCTGCTCCAATAGCATAGCAATATCAGAGCATACGTAAGCTCTCACCCAGCCTGACTGTGATCTAATTGCCTGTCAAGCTCAAGATGTTGCCAAGCCAGCTGCTGTTGCATTTGACAGACCCGGTCCATTGCTTGACGAGACTCACCACCTGGTGGGCAATGATGGCATTGTAATGACACAAAATAATATTCAAAAAGGTTTGGTGGAACATAAAAAGATAGTATCGTGGCACAGTCATCAGTACTTACAAAGTTACATAGTAGAGGGAAAATATCCGGCATTTCTGAGCCATTCAAACCGGTTCCCATTGGCATTGGTGAATTCAGCATAATATATGAATATGAACCCGGAATATTCCCCTTATCTGAGGCTCTTGCCCATAGTGAGAACAGCAAGGCTTGCCATCTCCTAAAGTCTGTATGCCAGGTATATTGCCCTTTCGGGGAATTGGAAGGCTTCAAGCTCTTCATCGTTTGCTAAAAGTGTTTGAAACAACAAAAAGAGAATAAATCTGGCCCTCAATTCAGACAGAAATGCAAACTTATACACTGACCAAAGGCTTCAAGTTTTCCTGAACGAAACTCATCACGGAGACGCTGTAGTCCATGTTCGATTTGCTTTGTATCACGCATGTTAGTCACAGCAGGCAGCGGAGTATGCTCGAAGCTGGAGCGACTGCTGGAGCTGACACTGTTACTACCAAGCTGAGCAGTGGTCCAAGTGGTGCCAGCGGTACTGGCGCTTATGGTCGTAGGCTGATTCGTAGCCATTGAACTAAGGGCTGATTGAAACCTTCAATGAAACCTCTGCCTTTCAAAGCTATGCTGTCAGCAAAACACCTCACACCAAAAGGGTTGTAGCAGGCGCCGGCATACAAAAATTACAAAACTGCAGAACGAGAAAGAGCATTCGCGTCACTCTTGTTCAGCGACAACTACTAGCTCGATGGTCTTTGACTCGTTCTGAAGAGCAAAGAAGGAGTAAATAAAACCAATGGCAATGCCAATAAATGGCCTTTGTAAACATAAAACATCCTAGCAAAAATCGCGATTTTTGAATTTATTTTTTGTCTTGGGCCTTGACGCCATTTTCTCAATAGAAGCGCAAGCGCAAGGCCTATAAGCGTTGCTATGCCTCCGAAGTCTTTCTCTTTCTCTGTCAACAGCGATCATGGCGGCGACTTCGGCCTTGATGAAGTGAGTGGATTTTGGCCACCTAGAGCAGTTTTCCTCCAGTTTTCACCTTCAGAACCTAAACGATGGCTGTTTTTTTCGTAGGTTGGACCTTTGCGGGTTCAGCGGATACAAGATCTACCCCGGTAAAGGCAAGCGATATGCCCGTGTGGACGGAAAGGTATTGTATTTTTGGATGAAATTTGCGAAACAAGCAGTGTCACAGTGAAGCTGATCTCGGGAGGCTATACTGTGCTTTCAGGTCTTCAACTTCCTCAATCAGAAGTCTGAGCACTCCTTCTTGATGCGAAGGAACCCCCGTAAGATATGCTGGACTGTGCTTTACCGTCGCAAGCACAAGAAGGGAACCATGGAGGAGGTCGCCAAGAAGCGCACCAAGCGCACGCAGAAGTTCCAGAGAGCCATCCAGGGTGCAACCTTGGAGTCTATTATGGCCAAGAGGAACCAAAAGCCTGAGGTTCGCAAGGCTCAAAGAGAACAGCTCATCAGGTGTGTTATTTGAATGGACAAATATTTATTTTTGTACGCATGCATGCTTACTATTTGTAGACATAAATCGACACTCCTTTGGATTTGCGGAGCTTGGCTCTGTTACTCCCGTGCTGGAGAATTTGAAGCTGTTACAATCATGGATGGAATGCAGAATTCACTGGATCGACCTGTGGATATGGAAACGATCAAAGTATCTTTTCCAAATCCTATTTTCAAATCAACCATCATTGGTGTTGGAATGCTGGAATTCCAGACAGGATGGCAGATGCTTGCAGTTTAGCCACATGCAACTCAAACATAGGCATACTTCATGTACATGTCAAACACGTGCACATCACGTTCAGTTCAATTTGCAAATGCACATCCTGCAAGGCGACGTCTGTACAATATTTTTCAACCAGTCTGAATTTAAGTGGATCTGTTACGCAACACTGTGGTCCTGGAGATTGATAATGTGTGTGTATGTGTGTATTGCTGGTATTAATTTTTGGTCTTTCTCTTTTTCTTGTCCACACAGGCAGGCCAAGGAAAAGAACAAGTCTAACCAGCAGAAGAAGGCTGCCACCAAGGTATGTCTGATAGCTTTTGGTCGGGGTGTCTTTTCCTCTGCTCTTTTGCACATAGTATTTTATACCCGTAGGAAGTGATTCTAACCCCGGCTGGCCTGGGGATTAATTTTGAGTTGCATTGAACATATTGAATGGCATCCATGACGCATGTTGCCATTTATGTTCACTTGGCCTGTGGCGCCGTATTGTGCTCTTCAGAAGAACTTGATGGAGATGGATGCCAACACTTTTCATTCCTCATTTCACTCAGTATGCCATGTTCATGTGTGGACATATGCTTAATGCCACCATGTGCCTGTGTCTGTCATGCCAGATTTACCCATCTCTTGTTCCATCTTTTGATATGTGGACTCCTAACCATTTAGAGCCCATTTCAGTGGTGTTTTGTTCTGAGTCTCGCCCAAGAACGATTTCAAGGGGTTTACCTGGGTTGTTCTTATTTTTCAGCAATGGCTGCGTTCTTAGAATTCATACAGGATCACACGTATCCCAAAAAGCTGTCCGAAAACCAATTCCGCCGTTCTTAACTTTATGCTGTCGCGTTCTTAGCATTTCAGACAGAACGCTGGCGGCTCTACTGTAGAAAAGAGCAGCCTTTGAGACCTGCATCGTGATTGTGGTCTTTGTTCTGCCTGTCCATTGATTGCCAGCTTACTTCTTTGTGCTTTCTTGTTTGTCTACATTACAGCCCGCACAGGCTGCACGTACCCAAACGGGCAAGAAGGCCGCCAAGGTTGTCAAGACCGCCGCACCCCGTGTTGGTGGCAAGCGATAAGCCATCGTCTATGTTGTCAGGGAGAATATACTTTGAAAAGACACTTTCTTGACTTTTGTGAGTGGTGGTGGTGGTATACTTGAGATTATTGTCATTCTAGTTCTACAGTGCCCCAGTGATGTTGAAACTAACTTCATGTTGGGTCCGCATCTATGGCGACAGAGTTTTATGTGTACACAAGCCTGAAGTACAGTTATGCTCGGTGGAATTCGACCTAAAGTACACATTTTGCACGCAGGCGACTCTGCCCACGACGCTTTAGAGCCGGAATGAATGCTTGGCATGTCCATATTCAGTGATGTACTTGTCAGAACTACTGTAGAGTCGCCCAAGACCCTTGTTTCCAAGGGGTTAGCCTGCAATCTGGCTGCGTTCTTAGGTATAGCACGTTCTTCAGTGCGCGACTACTGTAGTTCAGGATGCCAATTCTGCACCTTTGGTTTGATTTCACTGAGCACAATTGTACGAGGTGAATGGCTATTTCTGGACATTGTACTGTCCTCGCAGGGTTCCGTGGACGCGCAATTTTCCACATTGGGGGCCGTCCATGATTAGGGAGGTTTAGTTCCCACGTAACGGAAACGCGTACGTGGGTGATCCACGTAAAGTGGATGAATGGCATTCACGTTGCAATGTTGTGTTTAGTCCCACGGAACAAACAAAAGCATGAAGCGAAAGGCCCAAACCTGGTCAAAGACGAAGCAACCCAGGCCAGCTCTTCCAATATTTTGATTTCGTGCTTCGGAAACTTCTTCAGCGCTGCAGCTGAGCACTCACACAATGCGTTCCATTCTGATTTTCACCCACGTTCTGGCGGAACTAGGGTGAGCCTCCATACATGGTATGTCGTGAATCAAAAAAACGTCTGTACGCGGGTCACTGAGTATCACGTGGTACACACACGTACAGTACCCACGAATTACGTGCGACTAACCTCCCTGGGCCCTATCGATCTTTTACACGAAGAGAAAAAGTTTCGTATATGGGTGGGTACAGGCCGGTGGTTCAATTCAAGAGGAGTTTCGTTTTGAAAAATATTGATATGTGAGACATCAAGGCATTCTTGCTGTCAAGTCAATCTTTTTTTCGTTCAGGGGGAGGGTCCTAACTAAACTTTTTTCGTTTCGTGAAAAATATCGATGATGCCGGATAGTCCCTTATTCACTGTCATCCGCGTTTTCGAGAGATTTTCCATAAAGGCTGTGTTTACAAGAGAAATTTCAGCCCGGGTTGAAAGTCTGTACGATAGACAAAAGAGGTGAGCGTTTACATAAAGACAGTTGACCCGGGTCAAATACTGATATGCCGCCAAAAGTCCACTTCTACACGAATCTACAGTCCTGTATGGTCACGTGAATCCGCTCGCGCGAAATTTGCATCTGCAGTGCCGTTCAAACCTGGCGCGAGATACGCACAGAAGTAGGTTTGTACGATTTTCTTGACCCGGGTTGATTTCAACCCGGGTCAAGCGCAATGCGTCATGTAAACGCGCAATTCATTTTATGCACGTGGCGGGTTGAAACGCCTCATGTAAACACCGCCTAAAACCCGCGTTATTCATGGGAATGTACAAGAAAATAGCACATGATGTTGAAAATGTACTACAAAGTCGTACCGTTGCATGAGTTTGTACGACAAAGTTATTCTGTGGGGACAGATTGTACATTTCGAGTAAAATAATTTTTCGCCGCGTGTAGAGTCCAGTCCGTCGAGTTGATGAAGTTTTTTTCTGGCCGTAGTTGACAGCTGGGCTATTGTAGTTTCTTCTCGTGTCGGTGCCTCCATGGCTTTAGTGAACATTCAGTATGTATGCATGGCATATGCTATGAATCGGTAACCAACGATTTCCTTCCGGATAACCGAGGTCTGACTGTATCATTATTATCACAAGAGTATGGGGGTTATAATTATACTCTTGTTAATTTTAGTCCCACGTACAGACGTTTTCTGATTCGCTACATACCGTGTATGGAGGCTCACCCACGTTCCGCCAGAACGTGGGTGAAAATCAGAATGGAGCGCATTGCGCAAGCTGTGAGGGTGCTCAGCTGAAGAATTTTCCGAAGCACGAAATCAAAATATTCGATGAGCTTCGAGCTTTGACCAAGTTTGGGCCTTTCGCTTCATGCTTTTGTTTGTTCCGTGTGACTAAAGACAGCATTGCGAACGTGGGTTCATTGCATGAACTTTACGTGTATCACCCTACGTTCCCGTATCCGTTACGTTGGACTAAACCTCCCTATTATGAGTGATTTAACACCCATGGCAGGTGATCAATCATGCCCGAATAAAAAAAATATCATCTCCAATACTAGTATGGTGTCCTTTAGTAGTACAGCCTACAGGGCTGGCCACCTTTCACAAAATACAAGAACTGTCCGTTTGTTGGGATAATACGGTATCCTGCTGTCCAGACAGAATTTCAAGTTGACGTCATTTTTGATGATGCAATGGTCTTCGCACGAGTGATTTACGATGTGTCAACGCATCACACGTGTTTCCTTGTACAAGATCAAGCCGAATTTGTTCACCCGGACGCGCACAGGTCCAGGACTCATCGCAATATACGTGTACAATGCGCATTGCTGGCATTAGAGAGGTTCCGCATAACGTAAACACTGTATTGAGCAGGGAGCGGTGCTTTCTTGCGGGTTTGCCGAGTGGATGGTTCAACATGCTTCTGCTGTGTTCCAGACGGCAATTGTGAGTCAGTCAAGTGCTACCAAGAGTATATTTAAGAGTTATAATTATACTCTTGGTGCGCACCGGTGCTACTACTATACTTAGTCTTTAGTAGCAGGAAGCACGATCTCCAACTTCGGGAACAATCACCTACTACTTCAAGTACATACATGTATGCTATTGTATTAGATAAACCTTGTTTTAGTTCACACATGTTGTTGGTTTGACAGCATGAAACAAGGTGGAGGACACCGTGTTCGGAAACAGTGACCTTACTGCAACCATCCACGGTTGGTAGAGCCCCGCATAATGAGGGTTAGAACTGGGTTTAATACGCATGCGGTTCAGACGGTCCCAACGGACCGGGGCTCTACCAACCGTGGATGGTTGTACAAGTAGTAAGGTCACTGTTTCCGAACACGGTGTCCTCCACCTTGCTTCATGCTGTCAAACCAACAACATGCATGGTATTGTGTCGGCATCAATTGTTCCATTTATCGCAGTTGTTAAAAACTCTTTTCTCCGAAATGCCTGTTTACATGCATGTAGCGTCTTCTTATTGCTCGACACAGTGTTTTTATTAGGATCAGTAGAATGTGAGAACAGCGATGGTCCAAGAACTCAATTCTTCTTATTGCTAGTACCAAGAGTACATAACCCCTGGGGTTATGTACTCTTGGGGGGTTATGTTACGTACTCCTGCTAGTACAAATGCGGGTGCGAGGCTTGCGGTCAGGGAGTAGTAAACTATGGTATTTTACTACTTCCTCCTTGCGATGCAACAACATAAAATCGCACGCCGCGGTATAGCGCTGGACAAGCAACCCGGTGTCCGTCCTATCGGCATCGGTGAGTGTTGTCAGCGCATCGAGGCAATGGCCCTTGCAACCGGCCAGAATGTGCAGGAGACCCGCGGTGCAGACCAGCTATGTTCTGGGGCCAAGGCCGGTATTGAAGCTGCTGTTCCCTCCATGTCCCAGCTATTCAATCAGGAGGAGACGGAAGGTCTCTTTACTGGTGGACGCGGCAAACGCGTTCAACTCCATCAGTCGTCTAGCGGCTCTCTGGAACTGCAGGATTTTGTGGCCGCGCTGTTCAAGGTTCCTCTTTAAGTGAAGGAACAACCCAAGGCTGCCCATTAGCCATGGTGATGTATGCAATCAGCAAATAGCCCCTCATCGAGCGTCTGAAAGATCCAAGTCACCACATCCAGAATTGGTGCGCAAACGACTAGTCATGCCTCGGGAGGTTGCTGCGAATCAAGGAGTGGTTCCTCTCCCTCCTTCAGCAAGGTCCAGCGTTTGGGCACTTCGCCGCGCCCTCCAAGTCCATGGTGATTGTCAAACCCCGTCATGTGGAGGCCGCCAAGACAATCTTCGGCAATCTCAACGTGCAAGTCACCACCTCTGGTCGCTTCCTGGGTAGCTACATTGGTGATCCAGAGGGTGTCTCTTCCTTCGTCCATAGCCAATCCCATCACGCCGGCTCCTGGTGCGCATGCCACATCGAAGTGCGTCGCAGAGGTTTTGCAGGTCGCCATCTGCACCGTTGCACCGGTCAATATGGCTCACCACATCAGCCAGTGTCGTCAAGTCACCAGCGAGGTCAGCCGCGCTCGAGACCTGCAGATGACGGCACGTAGTAGAGTCCGCCGTGCTGCGCTTCCGCGTCGCCAACAGCGAACCCTCAACCACATTGTTGATGGCAACGCTTCCGGCTGGTGGACTGTGGTTCCTCTCAAGCAGGAATGCTGTGACATGTCGGCGGTCCGGTTCCGCGATCAGTTGGCTGTTCGCTATGGCCAGGAGCCGAATGCCCTCCTGTCGCATTGCGATGGCAGGAGCCGAATGCCCTCTTGTCGCATTGCTATGGCAGGAGCCGAATGCCCTCCTGTCGCATTGCGATGGCAGGAGCCGAATGCCCTCCTGTCGCATTGCGAGGGCTGTGGAGCTGCTTTCTTCCTACAGCATGGTCTGGATCGTATGAAGGGCGGGCTCATCAAGCGCGGGCGCAACGATGTCCGCGACTTCGATGCCCGGCTGGCAGACGTTGCCTGGGGAGGAGTGGCTGTCGAGCCGGTGATGGTATCGGTGCATGATGGCAACGGCCGTCCCACATTGCAGGCAGATTGGTTGGTCCGGGGAGTTTGGGAAGGAGACAGGGTGGCGTACTTTGATAACCGCATCGTGGATGCCGACGCACCCAGTTACGTCCGCTCCAACCTCTCTTGGACTGCCGCCGTATATAACAGTGCTGCCTCTTCCAAGAAGAGAAAGTATAAGTACTGCGAGCGTCCTTCACCCCGCTGGCGCTGGTCTGCTCAACTGATGGTGCACTGCACACAGAGTACCATGCGTATCA